AATCGGATCGTTGCGCATTGATTCCTCAAGTTTCGACGATTTACGATACACAATAACTCTCTGATTTCCTCTAAACGCGTATGGATGGTCCTTCGTGAATGGAAATCTAACTTCAAGATATTGAAAGCTTCCCCTCGCACAAAGCGATATTCTCCTACTATACTTTTATAGAGTACATATTCTTCACGCTTCCCTTGCAAACGGTGCAAATATTTCTTCTGGAATTATTTGTTAGATATTTATCAAGATTAGAATTCCTATTTTGCCAATTATAATAAAAAATGCCTAAATTTAATAATAACTTTCTATTAATATATATAATCTTCTCTTACTTTTCTATTAATAAAATGAATTTTTATATTAATATTAATTAACTTTTCTATTAATTTTCTATCGATATTAAAAACATTAAAATATTTTTTCCTGTATATTTTATATTTTTTAACTGCACTGGTGATAAATTACTATTATTTATATTATGGTTTCATTATAATTTTATTATTTATAGTTTCACTTTTATATTACTATTAATTAACTTTTCTATTAATTTTTTATCCATATTAAAAGTATTAAAATATTTTCTTCATGTATATTTTATATTTCTTAACTGTACTGGTGATAGATTGCTATTATTTATATTATAGTTTCATCATAATTTTATTACTTATAGTATCACTACTAAAATTTGAGAGCCTATTATAGAGATCGTTTTAGTAATAATTGTTGCACTACATTAAAGTCGATAAAGTTGGTGAAGAAGTATCATCTAAATTCCAAAAATTTACGTAAAATTGACGGGTTTGTTATTAAAAATACCTTTCATGAAACGAATTAGCGAAGGCAATAATATCGCGCGGAATCAATAGACGTTTTCGAAAGCGAGATTAATATCCGCCGATCGCATCTAAAGCTGCAAAGGCTACCGAATTTCGATCGTTTCTTTACTCCAATTTCCAATATCTCCGACTCGTCCATACATTAAATTCTTCCTCTGTGCCCTGTTGCCTTCGACCACTTTCAGACGTAGTACTCCTTCGTTCCTCTCTATGCCCTCAACGTCGAATCGCTTATATTCCGTTGCTCTATAAATACGTAGGTCAGTCGATAAATAAGTCACCCCTTCTCTATCCTTTGATAAAGCACGAACGGGAAAAAATTCTATTTTATTGCCAAAGTAAACTAACGTTCGGCTACCGTTTCTCGATATAGTCTTCGAATATTTCGCTTGTCGTAACGATTGATCGATTTACGAATTGAGTCTCCGAAAAATCTACACCTGGCCTCCTACGATCCTCGATCTGCCTTCGCGACGCTAATCATTAATCAAACCGTACCCACTCGCGAACGCGTTGTGGCGCTTAATGATCGATTAATGACTCGAGGTATTTTGGCTATACATCAGCCGCTTCTTATGACTCGGATAATGGGGATAATTGTGGGAAAATAGGTTCTATGAACGGGTATTTTCGGCTTTGTTAGTAAGATTGGCTATCGATTGATCGAATCAGGGGTAGATGATGGGAAGATTTTAATTTCCGAATTGAGATTTAAGTTTGGACTTAGGTAAGTCGACATTCGATAATCAGTTCACTTTTGCTCTAACAATCCTCTTATAAAATTCTCTCTCGTTTTGCTTATAATAGGACTGAAATTTTAGATATAAAACTTATCACTTAGGTTAGATTCTTTGTATTGAATATTTTATTACTTATAATTTTTATGTATAAAAATCGTGTAGTAGTATATGCTTCATTAGAAATTAGAAATTGGACATGCTTCTTATGTGACAGTTCATATTCAACCCTTTTGCTATGATAAATTGGACGTTAGCTTTCAGTGAATAGAGTATAAAATGAGATTGGAGTTATTGTATAAATTACTTTTATATGATATATAAAAACTTATAAGTAAATATGTGTTAGTATAATCAGATTTTGAAGATTGTTTAATACTACAATTTCACGAAGAAAATTGTAAAATGAATTTACATTACAAATGTGACACTAATGGTGGGTCCTTGGCTATACGTTAAAATGGCTGAATATAGTAATTGTGTGAGAGAGTATCAGTTACCCTTGGGTATTATAAAGCTGTGGTATACCAGGTATTACTCATACGAAATTTCGGCTATAATCGCTGTGAATATATAAAAATTTATTTTCGACGAATGATTGTTATCATTTTCGGTAATGAGAACGACATTATCCGATTGATTGGCACAATTGAGATGAAATTTAGTGCAAATCGATGAGAATGTTGAATGCATGTAGCTCTTAACAACCATGTATTTCATTTGGCATTGAAATTAGAAGGTAAATGAATGACTATAGTCAACCAGAATAATGAAAGGGTTAATATATAATAGTATACAATTGACTGACCTAACCGATTTCAAACTTAACGTGCATCAATGGCAATGCTGCACATAGTAATCTGAAGCAACCACCTATCTCTTTTAGAAGTTGGAAATTGGATCACTATAGCCATGTTTTCAATAATGAAAGGCTTGATTTACGATTGTTTGACATGATTGAGTTCAAACCTAACGTGCATCAAAGACAATGTTGCATACACGTACATAACCTATAACAACTATCTATCGAAACAAAATTTAGAAAATGATTGGGTTACTATAACCATTTTCAGTAATAAAAGGGTTAACATACGACTGATTAATACCCAACTGAGTTCAAACCAAACGTGAATCAAAGACACTGCTTCATGCATGTACATAACCTATAAATAACCTAGAAATTTTTTCAGACTAGAGTCTAGAAGATGATTAGGTATTATAACTATTTTCAATAATAAAAGGGTAAATATAGTACTGATTAATACCTAACTGAGATCAAACTTGCAACCATGTAACTGTAAAATGACAATCACCTATTTCTTCCACAAATGAAAATTAGGTAGGCGCTGAGTAACCATAACCTCCTTCGGTAATAAACGGATTAATGTACGATAATATGTAATTAAGCATCACGATTGCCTTAAAACTTGCCATTTATCAACGATAATGACGCACACACACACACACTTATCTAGTAGCAATCATCAATTTCTTTCAGAACGGAAGTTAAGAGAGTTGGTTAACTATAGTCCTTTAATAACAAGGGGGTTAATATACAATTTACTGACAGGATGAAGCTGAAATTTCCTTGATACATATGTAACGACATTGTTATATGTACCAAGTGACGACCATGTCAGCCATTTTTTTTAGAATACGAGTTAGAATGAGGTTAGGTGACTTACATATCGACTGACCTAGGTACAGCCTGTCTCTGCCCTTTCCCAACGTTGTTATACGTGGATTTGCATGGTGCATGTTTCAGGAGAATGCATATCTCCTATCTATTTTAAATATTCAGTGTCACGCCGATTATCTGTCCGTGATATCTCTGCTCTCTAGAGCCAAAAATAAATACGGATTTCGCTTTACGTGGTACGTTTTTTTCATCACGTTCTGCACACTGTGCACACGCATATTCAATTTATCGCGTGCTTATCTCAAAGCGACAAGAACACCGTGAAATGTCGTTTATTCGAAAAGCATGAGCGATTGAGTTTATAACTGATCGATTATCAAATTGGAGTTAGGTAATCCTAATACTAAACTGTATAAGCAGGATTTAAAATGGATTACGCGACGTTGTGTAACGTGAATGTATGCAGAGTCGAAACAAGCATAATGCTCAGTGATAAAATTTATCCTTTGTTAAAGAGAAAATAAATTTACCCCGGCAAACTCAAATTTATCCTATGGTTTTACTCAAATAATTCGGATTTCTGATACAGTGATTGCCGATGTCAACTTTGCTAGACGAAATTCACGTATTCGCGTGATAAAATCGAGGATAGATTTAGTAAAGAAATTTTCGAAATTTTTATTTTTGGGAATAATTTTATTTCGAAATATAAGAGAAAAATGATAGCTTAGTCTTTTTTGAAAATTGGAGATAGTTTTAATAATGGCAAAGTTCATTACAGATAAGTATAGCATAGAATAAGTAGTAAAACTAAATGATAAAAGCGACGACAAGAAAATGCGAAATTTTCAAACCGTTTATTAAAATAGTTAAACAAAAAAAGTTTAGAAATATTATTATTTTCTAACATAGCAATTTTATTAACACTGTTAATACTGGAATTATCAATCTGTAATATACATATAAATATACTGTACAAAATTAATAGCAATTAGTATTATAGAATATATCATAGAATAAGTAGTAGAACTAAACGATAAAAGCAGCGACAAATAAATACGAAATTTTTAAACCATTTGTTGAGATAGTCCAACAAAAAAGTTCGGAAATATTATTATTTCCCAACATAGCAATTTTATTAACACTGTTCATACTAGAATTATCAATCTGTAATATAGATATAAATATATTGTACAAAATTAATGGCAATTAAAATGTTATAACTTATAATTGCATGTCTACCATAACAGAAAACGATATTAATTTTACCAAAAGCACCTGTGCATTTTAATTAATTAAAAATACAGAAAAATTAACCTGTCGTTTTCACTCGTTCGATAATTTTACTATTAATTCAATTGCTCTAATATTAAATTTCTCTCTCATAATAATTTGAATTAAAATGAAAAATAATTTGAACCACATTCGAATAATCGTGTTTAATGTTAAAATATCATGTTCATTTCAGATTGTACAACGTCCTATTTGGGAAGACTTTGCATGGTACCCGGCGTAACACACGTGAAAGTTCATGGGAATGCGTTTCTGGCAAAAGGGTGAGCCGAGTGGCTCCGCGTTCTGCCGATTTTCGTTGAGACAAGCCCATTTTCGTTACATCGAGAACTTATCGTGAAACGGGGACGAGGAACACAGGAGACATCTGATCCGAGAACAACTTTATGCCGGTAACCAGAACCGGAAACCAGAACGCCAAGAAAGGCGCAACAGGGAGCTAAGAGTACTTCCGTTTCTCCCTACTGAAAGTCGGGCTACACTACTACTATCATGATGTTGAAATCCTTCGTCAAGAAGGTAACTATTTGTATTTTCTATTATCGTTTTCTATCGTTGTGGATAAAATTATACGAGCAAGTTTCTATTTCTGTCGAATTTCGTTTTTTAATTTCTATAAATTCCTAAATAATTAATAGTATACATATAAATGAACAGTATTAATTAATATAAATGACATTAAAATTATATATAAATTAACAGTATTAATTAATACTGTGCAATAAAATATCACTTTTACAATCATTAACACCTATTTGAATTTTAAGTATATCGTGATATCTATATGAATTATGTATTATACATATATCATATAAAGAGTAGTGTAGTTAAATAATAAGGAAGATAATTTTAAATGTAGAATTTTTAAGCGAATATTTAAAATGTGTTATGTAGGCTGTGATAGGTGTGGTTTTAATGAAATTTAATTTGGTTTAATTAAACTTTATTGAGGATCATTAATTATTAGAACGAATAAATATTTTTAGTTTATTTTATTTATCTCGTGTATTTTTGATATTGTTTACGTAATTATTTTTTGTATTTAATTTTTCCAACGTGCTCTTAAACAAATATTAACAAACAAAGAAATTAATTGATTCAATATAAAAGAGTTGAATAATGGAAATTTTCTGAATTGCAAATATCCGTGTATTTTTCAAAATTATCATTTCCCTTATATTTTACACTTTAAACTGTGTTTGTAATATCATTCCTCAATTAATTTATTATTCCATACGTTTTTATATCGTTATTAAATTTGTACAAGTTTTTCCACATCTTCGATTCTCATCGGGTTTCATCGAATTTGCATAGTCGATGGGCAGGAAACGGCTATTGGTATACTACGTGCCCGAACGGTTCATGTTTTATTTCATGCAAGAAATACGAAAGCAGAAAACTCTTAAATTCATACAAACTCTAACCTCGAGAATTTTTCCGTAACAAATTTATTTCGTTCCTCCTCCCTGCCTCTGTCGGAACATCAAATTCAGATATCCCATCTCGAGAAACTATTTTGTCTACCAGGAATTAAAGATAATCGAGTTAACCTCGGGTAAACTTTCCTTTATTCTTTCAAGAAACAACGGAAGACTTAGGTCAATTTCACGTCGACGCACAGAATTACTTGTTTCCATATGCTAAACTTCCTTCGTGGAAAAACAAATTACACAGTTTGCCATGCAAACCCATGGAAACTTCGTGTACCTTTATTCCCTCGGGAATTCCATATGTATTTCGGTACGTGTCATGTATCCAAAGACGAAATATTTAGCTACGCCTTTGTCGTGGAGTTTAAACGAAATTTTGAATTGATATTGCGAAACAAATTCATCACAGGATCATCCGTAAAATTAAGCAAAGTTGTTCTTCAACTCCGACCTATTTTTATTTTCAAGACAAATTTCCAATTATAATTTCTTACTAAGGAATTGAAAAATTCGAGAGGACAAGTGAAAGGTATAAATATTTCAATTTCCCAAATTACAACTTAAGATATTTTAAAGAGATAGAGAGCTCGAGAGATAATCGATATTGGATGAACGAGCTCTTTCGTTGCTGGGTATCAGTGACAATAATTTGCTAAAAGTTCAACACCTTTTCGAAATATTAAATATTAAACAGAATTTAGTAGAAGAAAATTGGTAATAAATTATGAATAATAATCTAAGTCCAAAAACAAAGTTAATTAATAACATTCTCACTTTACTGTTCGGTATTAAACAAATACAGATGATCCTAAGTGATGGTACCATTTCGATATTAATATAGAAAGTATATAGTGACGATTTACTTAAGGTACCAGAATAATAATAATAATCACAAAATAATAATTAAGAAATAATTGAGAAGCTAGGTACTAGTCGAGACTATACCATTTGAACCAATTATATAATGAGATTAACCTAAGTCGTAACATGAGTCAACACACGCCACTGCGGTGTTCTTTTGGACACATGAACACTTGGTCGAGATTTGCATATTTGGTCAACAGACGTTTTGTGACACCTATACCTCTAATACCGCAGGATTGAAACACTTTTGAAAACAGCCATAAAGTCACCCATCTATGAAACACCACCTCCATGATTCTCCTAATTAATGACTGCTTTGTTCTTCAACTCAATTAAGTCAATCACTTATAGAATTCACGAAAATAAGGAATCTAGCCAACAAGAACAAGCATCTGTAAAGCTTCAATAATACTAACAGTATCAGACTTTACACTATAAATAGTGATAAACTGTTTCACATTAAATGAGTATATATTTATGAAAATTGCTATATGGTCACGACCAGTTTACTCAGTCCCTTCAATTAATCCAGGCAAATAAGCTCCACCAAATTTGGAGGACGTTAGCCTAATATCCAGACCTACCTACGCGACAGGCAATGAAAAAATACAGAGAAATTTAAAGTCGCTGAGGTAACGATACTAAAAGGGAACAGCTTTGTCCCCTCCATTTTGTCAAGAGAGTAAAAGATGTTTATCGAGGCAATTTACGAAGATCCAGCAAGGAGCTCCACAGGTATCGTAAAACGGGCTGGCATACGCTGCCGAGCAAACAGCGTTTCATCCGCAGCGTTCCATGCCCTTTAGAACCCGATTCCGCAGATTTACAGCGTCTACTTACACCGCTGAGCAGGAACAAGGCCTTATTTCTTTGTATCACCGCGATCTGATGTGATTTAAGAGCGACTGACAATGAATTATATGCTCCTATCTTGGTCGGCGGTTCGCCTCGACTATGGATTAAACGGCATTGTTTCAAGATCGTGTCGAGATCTCACGATCGAGACGAGAGGATTAAATTTCGTAAGGTTGGAAACGGTCCTTGGGGAGGTTCCTCTTTAACATCCAGTTTGTCACCTGTCTCGTCGGATACCCCTGCCTCACGGAGCAGCCGTGGTTACTTTAGACTTGTCAAATGCCTGGTGGTAAGTGCGATGAGATAGAGTCGATCGACGTCGTTGAGATTCGTTGTTGATGAGGAGAAACGACGTGCAGGATATACTTGGAAAGTTTCGCAGCGTTTTCGAAGGTCGATGTCGTTGGATCGCTGAATTTATGAACAACGAGCTAAGAGCTTTTGGGCTACAGCCACGTGGTCTTCTGAAGATCAATTGCGTTATGGCTCATACATAGTAATAGTAATTGACTTGCTAACAGAATGATGTCTAGTGCAGCAGTTGAAATTTGTGTTGCGTATATTGAAGTTCGATGAAGCGCAAAACTGGTAGTTTGATGATAAACGTATTAAGTGTTTGTGGCTACGAGTTTCTAGCTACACGGGATAAATCAATTGGAATGATCACTCGAAGTAACACGTTATAAATTTAATTTTTGGAACTCCATACGATGTATCAGGTTCTCTATGTCTTATATTTTTTGACACATTTACTGTGCGTTTTATAAATTTCCTATCTTGCTATTATTCTGTAGAAATTATCGTCCAAGGAGTTTCCTATCATTTGAAAGTTCAAGGTTCATGGAAATTCTTATTATGAGTTGTTGTTAAATTTCAATTTTATTACTACTAGAAGACTGCACGAGGAAAAAGAAATATTCAAAGTTATTGATGTGTTTCAACAAGTTCAAAAAGACTCATTTAAAAAATTTGCTTTACCTAGTTTATAGATAATGAGCTTCTTCTGATGGCCATTCTTAGTGGCTCATCTTGGATATGTCTAGAGTTAGGCTGTGCTGAATAATGTTACATCTAATGTCGATTAGACCGAGTACCTAATTATTGGAATACATCCCATCGTACCACTGACTACAAAAATTCTCAAAATCAGTAAATGTTAGTATCTATATCCCAAACTCTAGGGATGATTACTATCCTAAGATCCTAAAAGGTGTTCATAAATCTCGTAATGTCTGACATTCAAGTTTCCAGAGATAAAGTTACCAAAGTTACCAAATGATAAATAAAAATTCATTAAAGACAGAGTACATCCTAACGAATGAACGGTGATTACAGTAAATTAATACAGGGCTCGAGGCGAGTGAAAAACGGCTGATAAACGACAGTCAAGTCTCTCGGCTCGGGACACCCTAACTACTCTCGACACACCCTTTTCTAGACGACTTACAACACGCTTTTTATATCGACAAAAAACCCTTCTTTACCCTTCTCTCTTATTTGCCTAATGACCTACGCACACTATTCCTCGTCCAGGCCCAAGCATGATCAACTTAAAAGTAGGTTTTCCACGTGACCGAGGTTTCTCCCACTGGGCCTGGTTACTTCTTTCTGTCAGCTCGTGCTTTCTCGTTTATGACCTCTGCAAAATTACGATACCACGCTTCTCTGATCGACTGTGCACGGTTTTCGCGCTATAACAGACACCGGATGTTCCGCTGGATATTTATTAACCAGGACTGCGTTTATGGCAGCGATACACCGCAAAGATTGCGAGCTACGATGTTCTCGCTACGCTGCACTTCGGATTAATGAAGAGTGGCTAATTAGTTTGGTGGTGCGCGGTTATTAAAGAGCGAGATAACAATGGGCTTATTGGAGTTGAAGATAATCAGGAGTTTAATTTAGGTTGCTGATTTGACAGGGACTGTTTGGAGATGACATCGTGTTCGTAGTATTAAGATAGTGGCAATGACGAGTTTGCGATTAGGAAATACAATATTTGTTAAAAATATGTTATATATATATATATATAATCAGCAGTGACTATGTGTCATTCAGCCATGCTGTCTTTGAAGAATATTTAATATTGATTTTATTGATGTGGAAAAAAACTAAATTTAAAAATTAAAAAACTCTGTTTTTCAATTTCGTTTTACTTTTTTTCAATGTAGAATTATAGATAATAATTATTGGACGGAAATTATGAAATATACTGTGTACCATATAATTCTTCTGTATTTAATCATGTGTTATATAACATTCTTTAGTACACAATTAAATTAAAAAATAAAATAATAAAAACAATGGTCGCATTTCCATCAATAGATATAAATATGGATATAAAGTATAGTGTTTCAAAATAATTTTATT